CTCGGGAGCCAAATGGCGTCCAGCCGGCTCCTCGGTCCTCGGTGTGCTCCCCCACCCCCTCCCATGGGCAGATAGGTTCTGTTTGAGGAATGGCCCTGGACCGTGCGGAGGGGAGCTGTCTGGGAGGCTCTGTGCTCCCTGCCAAGGCTACTCAGAGAAGGTCCAACGGGCAAGGCTCGGCTTTAGAGCCACAGGGTCCTGAGTCTGAAGGCTTGTTCCCTCACCTACTGTGTGATGTTGATCCAGTAGCCTAACCTCTCTGAGCTCATTTTTTGTAAGGTAGGGACGTGGGAGAGCAGCCAGGAAGCTGCCTGGGGCCTGGCTTCGGGCAGGTGGGCCAGCCCCTCCTATGCACCTCTTATCCAAGCCTAGGTGGGGCTCACCTCCAGGTAGGACATGGACACCTCGTACTCCATATCATTGCTGGTCTCCTCAATGGCACGGAAGAGGTCATTGAGGGTCCGAACGTAGATGCCGGGCTCGTGGTCCGTGCCCAGCATGGTGTAGGTTTTCCCGCAGCCTGGGCAGAGCCGGGTGGGGGAAGAAGTGAGGCCTTGCTGGGCAGGTGCTCCTGGAAACCCCAGCTCTGTCCTCAAGGCCACTGCCCACAGCCAGGGAGGTAGTGAGGGACAGGAAGGGCGTCGGCCTTGGCTGGGGCCGGGGCTTTGGGACTGAGGCCCTAGGGGACATTAGGGCCCACCCCATCTTTGATTGCACCCTAGTTGGGACCACACTAGCTCTCTGATGCAGGGTGAGAGGCCTGGCTCTTGTGGGGCACACAGGGACACCCCAATCCTGACCCACTACTGGGCTTCCCCTCACCCGTAGGGCCGTAGGCGAAGACGGTGGCATTGTAGCCTGAGATGACACCTTCAATGAGGCTCTTGGTGGTGGCCTGGTACACCATCTCCTGCAGGAAAAGGGGGACCGTCAGGGGCCTGCGGCAGACAGGGCAGAGCACAGGTGCCACACACGTCCTGGCCCTGAGAAGGGAGGTTTCTGTCCCAGGAGCCCAGGCCGGGAGGAGGGGGAACAGAAGGTGGACGCGTCCCACTGTACAGCCCTGGGGCGCCAGCTGTGGAGCACTCAGGACACCTGAGACGCCGCCCCACAGCCGGCTTCTGGCCCTTGCCCCCAAGGACACCTTCCATCTGCTCCTGGGAGCCTCCTGAAGACGGGCGAGAAGGGGGTCCCCGGGAGGGTGTCCGCTTCCCTAAGGCGCTCCTCCACCTGTCCCCCCATGCCAGACGGGCTTCAGGCTTCCTCCTCTGGCTCTGATGTGGGCCACCATGGAGTGTTCCAGGTGACTTGTGCAGGGTGGCAGGCGGTGCTAACCCAAGCGTGTCCATGCAGGTACACAGGTGTGCGTGCCAGGCAGGTGTACACAGGTGTGCGTGCCAGGCAGGTGTACATAGACTTCCTAAATGGGGACACTCTGGAAATCTGATCACCGAGCCAATGATGGAGGGAAGGTAGGGGTCAGTGGCAGGGCCCCTGAGTGGGACAAAGGTTTGAGAAGGCTCATGAGTGTCTGCAGGCCCTGCCCCCCTCACCTGGGTGGCAGTGAAGTCAAAGGCCACGTCGAACAGGTAGGACTTCTCCCGGGAGCGATGTGCCCGCAGGATGTCATCGGGGTCCTCCATTGGGTCCATGAGAACCACCATCTGCAAAGGTTGCCAAGGGCAGACCAGGGTCACCCAGGGTCCCCAGAGCCCAGGGCCCATTCCTGCCCCTGTCCACTCTCTGGGTGTCAGGTCCGGACACTTGGCCTAGGATGCCCGGAGGAGAAGCCTCCCTGATGACAAACAGCGGCTCCTGTGGGCCGGGCACAGCCACAGGGAGCAGAGAGCTCTGTGGGGTGCCGCAGACGCTGGCAGAGCTCAGATCCTGGCTCCTTCCCACCTGCCACGCTGCCCACGGTGCCGCCTGTACCGCAGGAGGAGCGACCACGGGGCTGGGCCACCCTACCCACCCAGCCTTGCTGCCCCCACAGAGTCCCTCAGGAAAACAGTCGTCACTCCCGCTGGACAGACGTGGGGCTCAGGGTCTGCAGAGGTACCGCCCTGGCCACACGCTAGCTGGTGGGGGCCGGGGCTCAACACCCAGATCAGGGTTTGAAGCCCAGACTCAACCACCTCCCTGCAGCTGCGTGGCAGCTGGGACCCTGCTTGGGCTGCCTCGTCCCTCCACACTCGGCAGGCAGCCCACAGGCAGGGCAGGGCAGGGCAGGGCAGGGCAGATAGCAGCGGGCAGCAGGTGACAGTAGCGGCGGGCAGCAGGGGACAAGCATGAAGAAAGCAGGTGGGCTTGGGGGCTGCTCACTTGTGTCTGAGGGGAAGTTGGGTGATTGACAGCTTCGAGCCTGAGCTGGGGGTCTGCCTGGGGGGGGCCCTGACTGGAGCTGGGACGGGGGCACAGCTGCCCAGTGCCCGCTGAGGCTCCCCCACTGGCTGGGTTCTTCCCCTGCTCTGAGGTGACTGAGGGACCCCTCTTCCAGAACAATCTCGAAGGCCACTCCACTCTGCCCACATCCTCCGTGGGCTGGGACTTGCTCTGGGCTCTGTTTGAAGAGGCAGAGGAAGGGCTTGGTTCCTTGCTGGAGTCCTGGCCTAGGGTGGGGTGGGGGAGTCAGTGGAGGCTCACGGAAGCCACAGAAGATGTTCAGAGCCCTGGAGGCCTTGGTTCGTGGGGTGCGGGATGAGGGAAGCGGGGCTGGAGAGCACTATCCGGACAGCCTCTGAATCCAAGCCCTGCCTCTCAGAAGCAGAGTGGCCTCGAACAAGCACTGGGACCTGCCGGAGCATCGGTCTCCTCCTCTGTGCTACGTCCCCGCAGGGCTGTGAAGATCCTGAGACAAGGGTGAGCATATGCTAAGTGCCCAGCGGTCCTTCAAGGGGCTGTTAAGAGGAGAGCAGAGGTGGAGGCAGGGGACGGGATGGCCATCAAATCCAGAGGGGTAAAAAAATGAAATAAAACAAAATGAAATAGAAAAACAGCTAAAAAGCAAAAACAAAAACAAAAAAATCCAGAAAACTTTTTGAAAGACAAAAAACGAGGGCTGGGGACACAGCTCAGTTGGCAGAGAGCTTGCCTTGCGCACACAAGGCCTGGGTTCAATCCCAGAACCACAAACATAAATAAAAGACAAAAAAGCAAAAGCAGTTGGGTGACACCCCACCTTCGCACAGAGGTCATCTGTCCCTTTGGGCCCCCACAAGGCAGGCGCTCTCCCCTTGCCCCTCCACCGTCCCAGGTGACTGGCACCTCTAAGTGCTGCTCGGGGACTGGGAACACCCGGGCTCCCTGGGGTCCCGGCTTTGCAGACAGCCAGGGGAAATAAGCCACCACAGCGCTGGCCTCCTAATGAGCCGGGCCTGTTCCCCGGGGCGGGGAGCTCAACAGAGTGCCAGGTGGTGGCCCCTTCACCACGAGCAGGAGGGGCAGGGCAGCCTCACGCCCCTCGCGCACTCTCTGCGGCTGATCCTCACTGAGCCTTTAATGTGAATTCATGATTATTCTTCTCAGATGGGTGGACTCAGGCACAAAGTCACATTGCTAGGAATCGGCAGAGCCAGGGTTGGGGCCCCGGCAGGCACCTGCCCATCCTCTGGACCTTCTTCTCACTCCCTGTCTCACCCAGGGCCTGGTGCTCATTCGGCCCTGGACACAAAGGCGAGCCTAGTCCTAACAGGAAAAGGTACAGGCTGTCAGTGTGGTCGCCCCACAGAGGCAGAGACCGGGACTGCGCTCCCTCGCTGGTCAGCAGCAGGGCCGGGGCCAGTGATGTCCCCAACAGCTTGCAGAAAGACAAGGCATAGGGAGTGGCCACTCAGAGGGGGCAGCAGAGGCTGGTGTGAGGTGACAGGAGCCCGACCCGGGCGCACAGCAGAGCTCGTGGACCTAGGAGATCTGCGGTGGGTCCCTCTGGTTCCAGCTGTCAAGCTTGAGGATTTGGGAGGCCCAGTCCCAGGAGGTCAAGGACCTGGGGACTCCCAGCAGACTCCCCTCTGCATTCTGTCTATGTCCTGGGATGGAAGCCCCTTGCCTTCACTCCTGGACCCTGGGCTAGGCACACACCTGTGCTCACTACACCCTAACCTGCCCAGGCCCTTCTCAGATTCTCCAGGAGGGAGGGGCCCGGGGACCCTGGAATCCCATCTGATTGGCAGAGGTCCTATCCAATCAGATGGGATTCCAGGTAAACCAGTTAAAGATGAGGGCTCCAGACAGGCTGGGTAGGGGAAAGAAGGCCACCTCCCAGCCGGCCAAAGGCTGGTGGCCACAGAGAGCTAAGCACAAGGCGTCTGGGCTGCACTGTTACTGGGGGGACCCAGCTGGCCTGGCCACTGGTCACCTCCTCAAGCCTCTTCCAGGATCTGGTCCCTGTCCCCGGCTGCCAGCAGCAGGAGCCCTGATCAAGTTTCAGACTCAACTGAAGATAAAACCTGGCTCGAGTCCCCTGGCGCGGGGCCCTGTGGGATGCAACTGGAGCCCAACCCACTGTACCAGCTCCCACCTCGGGTGCCAGGGCTCCTGCCTCAGTGCTCCCTGCCTCAGGGGCCAGACCTGCCTTCAGTGCTGGGGAGGGTGAGCAGCATGCATTGCCCATCCCCACCCATGACCTTCCCAAGACCTCCAGCACTGCCAGGGTCACGGCACCTCGGGCATCTGGTTCCTCTGACAGTGAACGCTCCTGTGACAGTGCGCTGCGGCACAGCTGCCTCGGTCCCCACTTAAAGAGGCTCTGCCTGGCGTCCATCTGTCTGCGCCCAGCCCCTGCCCCTCCCTCCTGTCCACTCTGCCACACAATGGAGCCCTTGTGCCAGGTGAGCTGGAGAAGGGGGCTGGAGCTGCTAAGGAGACCAACCCGGGACACTCAGGGAGGCAGAGCCCTGGGCCAGGCCCTGGAGGCTACAAAGTGAGGCCGGTGTCCTGCCTTCTGACACTCCTTGGTCATTTTAATAAACAGGTGAGGGTGGCACCTAGCAGGAGACGCCTAATCCTGCCAGGACGGGAGGGCTTCCTGGAAGACGTGGTGCTGGCACTGGGTCCGACAGATGAGAACTGACAGAGTTGGGGGAGAATGTTCTAGAGAAAAGCATGAGCAAGGCAAATAGGTGAGGGCAGGCTGTGGGTGGCAGTCCTCCACTTGGACTGCTGAGGTTTCTTGGGAGAGACGCAGAGTTGGATAGAGCTGGGGGTTCACCTCCTGCCCCTTCTGCCAGGAATCTCCGCAGACAGATCCAAGGCTTCTTGCAGGCATCTACCCAGGCAAGCATGCTGCGCGCCCTGTGCCCAGGCCCCCGGTGAGCGCACTCAAGCCCTCACCCTGGGAGCCTCCCTCTAAATGTCACGCTGGCTGGCACACAGCATGTACCCAGGGGATGTCTGCTGAAGAAAGCTGCCTTTTGAGCATGCCAGGCAGCGTGCTCAGCGGCCGTAGGAGTGGGCACTCCTGCTATGGCTGGACTGTAGATAAAGACTGAGCCTGGATCAATCATCCACCCAAAGCCATTGCTGCAGAGTGCAGTCAGTCAGGTCCAAAGCTGGTTCCAGAATCGAGGTTCCTTACCCCATCCTTGCACCCCGACTCTCGGTGTGAACAGGGGACAGCGGCTGCCCCATGAGGCAAAGCCCACCTGTCAGGACTTGAGTTGTGTGTTCCTCTCTCCTGCCCCAAGTTCACATGAAGTCCCCAGCCCCGTACCTTAGACAGTGACCTTATTTGGAAATACAGTGGCTGCAGCTGTAATCAGTTGAGTGAGGACAAGGGCTTGACGGGAGAAGGGCCCTTCCCTTCCCTCAACAAGACCATTTATAAAAGAGGAGTCACAGATACACACAGGCAAGGTGATGTGAGGAGAGTCACCAACGGGCCAAGGAGAGAGACCGGGACCAGACCCTTCCCTGACACTGATTTCAGACTCTGGCCACCAGGACTGTGGGGTAATAAGCTTGTTCTTCAAGCCACCCAGCAGAAAGCCACTTATTACAGCAGCTTTGCAAACTAGTGCACCTCCCGAGGTGGCTCCCTGCCCTGGGGATGTGGGTGCAGCCAGGACCTGAGATGGCACATCAGCCCAGCCCTCCCTCAGCCCCAGGGGTTGGCCTCTGCGCGAGCACCCTCTCTCCCAACCCCCAGGGAATGCCCGTGGCCAGGGGCCGTCAGTGCTGCCAGGGGGCAGGAGACAGGCCAGGAGAGGGAAGGTGGACGTATCCAGGGCTCTGCCTTGCAAGCCCAGCTGCCCCAGCAGCCCCAGGCCTCCCAACTCAGCTTGGTCCTCCATTCCCAGCCTCCACTCCACAGCTTCCATTCCCAGCCCTACTTCTAGTTCTGTGCAGGTTCAAAGTGGAATTCCCGCCTGGAATTCCTGCCCACTCGGAGCCCGTGAGATCCTGCTGGGGAGGGGGTCCTGGGCCCAGGGACAGGCTCTTTCCTAGCACTCCTAGGTGAGAAATCCTTTGCACAAAGCACACCAGGGGCTCTTCCTGCTGCGCCTACTCAGCTGCTGGGGCTTTGATGGCTTGGCGGTTTTCCCAGGACTCCTCCTGGCCTTCCAGCTGCGCCTAGACCAGGGCTTTTCAATCCCGCTCTGGTCATTCTTGGCGGCGGGGGTGGCCCTGCATGTGGAATGTCTGGCAGCATCCCTGGCCTCTGCCCACT